CAGAACGGTCAGTCGATCCTCACAATTGCCCAGGGCCTTGGCTGGCTTTGGCACAACGTTCCTCGCCCGGCATCAGGCCGGACCACCTTCTCCAAGCGTGGCCAGAGAATTCCTGGATCCTCATGTCAATTCCCTTCCAAAAGATTCCAGGCACGGAATCTCCCTCTTCTCCTGCCATTTGCGCAGCAGCTCAAACTGTCCACTCTGACTCCAGCCTTTCTTTTCCTGATATGTCAGATCCTATTTATGTAAAGTTTTTGTGCTAATATTCATCTTCTACGCTTGTTTACACTGAATGGCATTTACCATTGTGAAACCCAATCACTCCGTTGGGAGAGATCCCTTTGGACCTCTTCCCAAACTCACTTTGATTTTACCACCCTGTACAGTTTCCTTTGCAACCCCCACACCCTTTCCGTGGGTCCGTTCCTTTCGAATAACTTGTAGTCTTCCCGTGCTGCATGTCCGCCATGAATATCACCGATGCAGTGATGCGATGCCGAGCACATCATTTCTGTGTTCCTGAGTTAGAATTTCTAGCTCTCCTTGTTCGCTTCCCATCTTCTGCCCATTGGGGGAGAAGCATCCGGGGTTTTGAGCAGCCGCAGCCACTGGCTTGCCCACTGTGGTTTCCTGGAAAACTCTGGGTCCCCAGCCTGGCCGCCTGTTCTCCCTCCCTCCCTCCCGGGCATTCTGCCTCCTTGGCCCTGGACTGGAGAGAGCAGACATACCGAAGGTGGTCACACAGAAGAAGACGTGGACTTATCCTTCATCGCCCCAGAGGGCAGGACCGGAAGCAAAGCTTAAACCTAGAAGGAAGTGGGTTCGGGCCATGCATCAGGAGGGACTTCCTGGTTGAACGGGGTGGCAGCCGGTGGGAGAGGGCATTTAATAGATGCCTGGCAATATATACAAAACCACATGGCCCTGAGGCATTAGCAGTCTCCGAGGGTACCTACAGTTGCAGCTTCTTTAGGAGATGCTGTGCTTGAACAGGAGCCAACAATTCAATTCTGTATGGTATTAAAAGGTTAAACGAAGTATCAGTTACATATTTGATTTGTAGAAGGAAAAACTGGAATAACCAATTTTGGAAAATCAATGGGTCTAGGTATTAAAAAATGTGATATACACTTCCTATTATTTAAAATGAAAGCCATTCATCAGAAAATATTATTTTGGGTCAATTGGACCCTAAAAGAATGTTCAAAAAGAGATGAACATTGGATTTCTTATGTTGGCAATGTAAGAAACGTGAAGATTCTTAAACTCATGTGATTTGCCCTTGGTATCACTTTGTTCTGGTTTCAAATAATTATGTACATTAATATAATTTTGGGAAGAAATGTTACATTTAAAGATCTCAATGTGATGCTGAATTAGATGCTTAAAACACGGAGTTTGTCATCTCATAAGGAGCTTTGGCTCTATTGAGCCTGGATGTGACAGAGGATAATCCTACATAATTGGAAAGTAAGTCAATCTCCTGACTTTGAGGAATGGGTCCAGGATACAAGTTTGCTATACATTTCTAAAAAATCTTTGTGGTCTAAAAATACTGTCATGATCATGTTTTCTGAGACAGCAGATAAGCTACCCATTTTTGTGTCATCTAAAAATCTGATCAGCATTCCCTCTCCTTCTTCATCCAAGGCATTAATCAAAGCACTGAGAAGGAGAGGATCCAGGGCTAAATCTTACAGCACTTCGTTCACTTCAGTGAGACAGTAGCTACCGATGAGCATTCTTTTACCGTTTTTGAACCTTGTCACACCACGCAAACACCACTTAAAAAGCTCACATGAATGTCATAGGATACTTTGTCAAATGCTTTGCTGAAATCAGGATATTTTATACCTGAAGCATTCCCACAATCTATCAGGAAAGGTATATAAAATCAGAGGAGGTTAGTCTGGGAAAACTAGTTCTTCACAAAACCCTGCTGATTTCTACTAACCACCTCATTGTTTTCAAGGGATTACTGACTTTAAGAACTGCCTTAGAATTTGTTCCCTGGAACTTCTTTCCTCCCCTTTTGGAAGATGGAAGAGCCAAATCACCGGCCACTTCCTAGAGCACCTTAGGCTGCTCATTCAAAGAAAAGAGGTCTCCTAGCCACCTCCAGTCCTGATCCACTCTCTTCCTCCCGCTGTTCACAATTCCTTTGTGGAACACGGGGCAGATCAGAGGAGGCTGAGCCCAGAGAGGACTGATCTGAACCTATCTCAAGGAGCCTCTTTCACCACCTTCAGCTCAGAGCTCCAGATTCCAGCCTGGGCCTGTCCTCCTCAGCCCTTCCTACTGGCACCCTTACCCACTGGTAAGTCGGACACATGTGGTCTCGAGGGGGCTGGGGTCACAATAACTCCGAAAAGGACCGAACACGGTGTGGCTGAAAAAGCTGGCGGAAGAAAGAGGCAGCCTGAAAATGGCCTGGGGGTGGGCAGGGGCTGCAGAGAAAAACCCCCAGGCGAGGCTCCTCGGAGCATCTCCATCAGAGGGGCAGGCAGGCAGTGGCTTGGAAGGGGAGCGAGGGCGCCATCCAGGGCCAGCTTCCCTCCCTCCGCAGGACAGCGCGCAGCCTGTCCTGT